AAGTCCATTGAAATGGGAAAACATACCAACAGTGTTCAGTTGAACACTGAAGCTATTTACAATAAGCCATCATGTACCACCAGACATGAACATTGGATGGAAGGCATAGATGAAAATAGATTAAAACATCATGGAGGCAGAATGGGAAGACACTACAATGGTCTGGGAAAAGGAGAAAAGTGAGACTAGCACTGAACAGTGAGGTCAAAGTGACTGGAAAAACCATAGGCATAAATCTTCTTGATTGCTGCCTCTGCTTTAGCACATGGCTGAAGTGAGTCAAGCTTAAGTGAGACTGACAGGGAACAGCAAGAAAACAGATGGTCAACAGTGTGGAGACTGTGACATAGGAGACTTTCAAAAATGAGTAGAGATAATTGAGAGCTGAGGAAAATGAATACAGAAGCAAAGAAGAGAAAAATGATGAGCAGCAGTGAGCAAAGGATAATCTGAGTATGAGGAAATTCAAAGCATCTCTCCTGTTCAGACAGATTTTTGAAGTACCTAAGAAGAGCAGAATCCATCCCATGCTTTAATTCATTTCTTCTTGCCATATATTTATACTGGTACTCTTGCTAATAGGTGTGATTTTATAGCATGTCATGTTTTTCTCTTTAAGTTGTTGGGATAATACAACAGGTGTCTTGTTTGGTTTCTTTTTTTTTTTTTTTTGTATCTGTGTGAGATTTGGGATCTGCTTCGTGTAGGGAAAGTCCAGAAAATATGAACTCTAAGCGGTCAAAAAAAGGGAAAGGAAATCAGCATATGCAAAATAAGTTGTTACTATAAACAATGATCTTAAGACTAAAGACTATGTTTCAATTATGGAATTAATCCTTTTTTTTTTTAACCATTTCAACCATTTCAAGTTATCAGCATTAACTGCATCTGAAAGGGCAGCATGAGCTAACAGTGCTGTGGGGGACTTCTCTCTTGCTGTGAAGAAGCAAGCATTAGAAAGTGTTCCCTGCATAAGGACAGAGAGCAGGCTTAGGAGCAGACATTTTAACTTTTGTTTGTCATGTTTGGTTACAGTAAGAAGACATGATGAGTGTCTCCTTGGAAATGGTTGGATATGCTTTTTTCTTTCTAGTAAAGACAATTATGTCAAATAAAGACAATTCAAACTGGCTCAGTATGGTTTTTTAAATTTTCTCAGACCCTGCTGAATGACAAGGTTCATCCAACCCATCTCAATCTTTTACAGAATCAGGGTAGGATGCATGAATATCACCCCTTACCAGAGACCAGTCCATTGTCCATTTACTTTTCAGAGGAAAGGATGTCGAAAGACGGTTTTAAAAATGCATTATTTTTGCAAAAGTGTCAAGAGAAAAAATACACAATTATTACTGAATCATTTTTTCAGGATTTACGAGTGTGTAAGTGCCAAGATCTGAAAAATATTAATTTGCCATGAAACCTACACAATTCCATTAGACTTTTGAGTGTTTTATGGAAAAACTGTAAAATTTGGAAATAAATTTGATAGATCAAAGGAACTTCCAGTACCACCTGAAGATGAATATCCTAGTAGGGAAGTGGCAAATTTTATCTTCAGTAAACAACCATTCAATAAGCTTGCAAAGGTTGTGTTTGTCAGCTGTTCACCAGCTGCAGCTCTTCAGTACATCCCCCTGTTGTAACTATGGCTTGGTCACATTTAAATCTGAATTCTGTGAGGATGCAGGGGTTCACATAGACCAGCTTGCATTACTGGGACGACATCCTGTATTCTTTATATGATGCTGGATGAGCAAGATACGAAACAGGATGGTTTACTCCTTGGGGACTTAGGGCACTCAAACTTTAACCCTGATTCTCGGTCATTTTTTTCATGCTTTTGTTAATTAAAAAAAAAAAAAAAAAAAAAAAAAAAGTGAAAGCCTCACAGTTCTTGGCTGCAGCATAAAAATATGGCATATGACAACTGATAACCTAGTCACAAAGACTTTAACACAGGGAAATGAATAGTAGTAGGTCATATGTATGTATGTGTGTGAGCAGTGTGAAATGCTACCTTCCTACTTGTAGTCGTTATGTTATTTTTACAAATACAAATTGTTGTTTGTTTTTTTTTTTTTTTTAAATCAACCATCTGGTTCTTTTCTGTAACATGTTCCCTTTCTCACATCAGAAGCTTGTTATATGTGGGTGAAAAAATACTGAATATATCCCATAACCCCATTCTTTTATTTCCTATTATCCTATTATCCTATTTATTTCCTATTATTTAATTTCCTATTATCATTACAAAATTATTTGAACGTTTTGAATATGACCAGAAAGCATCAATTCAATTAAAACAAAACTACAAAGGGAAAATCTCACTGCAAGTCTCTGTGCAACTGGTGAACCTAGTAATTATATATAGCCACCTATTGTGCTAGGATAATAACATGTGAAGAAGGTTTAGTTAGACACATTTACACACATAAAAAGCAATATGGGCAAAGAAAAAGTCATTTTTGCCAAAACTATTGAACAGTCACATAGTAACAAATGAGAGCTGCATGAACTCTAGTTTACTTGGCTATAAATAAATCCAACATTTTCCTTCTCTCTGTGGTAAAATAAAATAGAAGCACAGAAGCATAACAGTCTCCTTTGAGCAACCAGTCTCTTTCTGTTCAATTATAGTCATCAATCTGTTCCACCTAAAATATTTTCCTCCTTGAGAAACCAGAGAAATCAGTATTAGGATCCACAACAAGCTGTTACAAAAAATAATGTAAAAGAGGTCTTTCCTTTTTGCGAATGCATTTGTTCTGAAAGACCGTATTTTCTTTAACATTAATTTTGTAATTCAGGTGAAATAGGCTGCATTTATCCTGCACTTTTAATCAGAAAATCTCAAAGTACTTAATGAAGAAAGATAAGGGTTATCTTCATTATAGAAATAGAGAAAACTAACAAAGAAAACTTAAAGCCAATTTTTTTTCAAAACATATTTTTTATGTATGTTTCTTTTATATGCCCAACTGGAAGCATTTAAATTCTGATATTCAGAAGTGCTAAATAGACAAAGCTTCAGCTGTACGAGGACCCTTTTTCTCAAGAGTGGCAGTGTTCAGACTCTGCAGCATTGGGAAATGCTTGCCTGTGCATAATCCCACAGCAAATTGGAGAGAACAGGGTGAACAGGGTCAGGTGTCCTGCTGCATGTTCTTATACAGCTTGTCTAGGTGGGTGAATGTCTTTCCATTACTTGAAATCACTATGTCCAGTTTAGATGTCTTATGAAAGTTATAGTTTCAGTAACATCTCTGGACTTGACGTACGAATCATTTTGTAAAATCATATAACTCATGTATAACATAACACAGGACAACAATATCACGTCTCCTGCCTCTAAAAACCCTATGCATCTATGACTACGAGACCTCAGGGGAATTAACTATTATGAATTTTCTTGGGGGTAACATGCCAAAGTTCTGAATAAGACTTCGTCTTCCCAAGATATGATACCAGGCACTTAATTATACTGTCTCTTCCTTTATGCTGTGTGCCACTGACTCATCAAAGAACATGAAGTAAAGCCTATTTGATTTAGCTAAATAGGAAAAAGTCCAAATCCTCTTTATGTAGCAGTGCTGTAGAGAGCAGAACACTGTCCACCTGTGCACATTTGAAGAATTACAGAGAATTATTTTAAAGATGAAGAGTTGGGATGCTAAAGTACTATCATATTTGGAATAAGAATAGTTTCAGGGTAAGTTCTCTGTACTCAAAAACTCATCAGAAACCTCAAGAACTGAACGAACACAGAGAGCAATCCTTTCAGTCACAGAAATGGTTCCAAAATCATATGAAATGTGGATTTCGTATGCAGGTAAGCACTATGGGGAAGTTAAAAAACACTTAAATATTGCAGAATAACTTTAACAAATACATAAAATATCCTGCGTTTGTGGGTGAGGAGTGGGGAATATGAATTGAAGTAAATTTCTTGTCCTTTTAATTATTTTTTCTAAGTGACCATCTTTAAAGTAGCTAAATAACTACAGCTTTCCCTGTTCGTTCATTGTTCGTGTATGGTAAGCTTGTCCTTAGTGCCAAGCATTACTGTAAGGGAACAATTCTACCAGAAATTATATATGGTTAAAAAAGAATAGCTTGATCACAATAAAAAATTTGTCCCAGATGTAACTATGAAATATCCTTTTAAACATTGGTTAGCTGTTCTTATAGCAAACATCAGTTATTCAGCTCATGTTTTCTTTTAAGGCATTTCTTTGGAAGCAAGATCTTGCAATTAATGTTTGGTTTAAGATAAAAAAGATACAAAAGTTTAGTTTTAATATCCTCTCTTAGAACCTACAGTGAACTACAGCAGATCCAGAGGCCTATGATTTTTAAAAAGAAGCAACCTATCATTTCAGAAACCCAAATCAGAGAACTCAGCATGCAGACAAATAAAGCCCTTTTCCCCCTGGGGTGATACGCTAGTTTGATTTTATTTTCCCTGACATTTCACCTGTCAGATTATGATAAGTAGAAGAAACAAAGAATAATCATCACATTCTCATTGAATCTCATAATCAAATATCTGGAAATATAAGATAAATAAGAAATGTAATCCTGAGGGAAAACATGAACACCAAAAAAACTATCAGTTATCCAAAACATCTTCCAGTGACCCAGGACTCCCATATAGGTTTAAAAGATTCAGAAATGAAGCCTGCATAAGATCGTTGCATCTACTTTTTCTTCAAGTACTAGGAAATGACCTACAATAATATAAGAAAAAAAAATGTTGCATAATAATAATAAAGCTATATGTTTTCTTTGAGTCTTTCATGCTGCTTTCTGAAGTAATTCCTGAGGCCAATAAACAGAACAGATTATCATGAAATACTATAAACTCAAATTAACTAGTTGGCAAGGTGAAAAGACTAATGAGCCAGAACACACCAAACATGTTCCTGATTTACTGCATCTGCAGTTTATGTGTTCCCAATTTCTCTTAGTGTTGAGATTCATAAGTGATGAAAACTTACCTGCTTGACCAGTGGTAATACTGACAGCTGCAAAAAGCCTCTGGGAACGACTTAAGTCAGAAACACCATTCACAGCTTCGACTTCAAATGTGTAGTTAGCATGAGCTAGCAGGTCCATGACAGTGACATAATTATCTACTAATCCAGTTTGCTGGGGCATATATCCAATGTTACTTCCACAGGGAACACATTCACCCTGCTCCCAGCTGCACCTCTTGCACAAAATGCGGTAGGTCACATCATTTCTTCCCCCGTTGTCAGCAGGAGGACTCCACTCCAAACTCACAGTAGTCTGGTTGATATTGAAAATGAGGTTCTGTGGTGCAGATGGAGGTCCTGTGTAACACACACAAAAAAAAAAAAGTCCAGCATCATGCGCAGAACCACCATGGGACATGCAGCTAGCATTCTAATTCCTGAGACAGAAAATAGTTGAAGCATTTTTCTTCACATAAACATTTCATTATTTTTTACTGCAAGCTGTATAAAAGCTTCCTTGAACTCACTTGGCAAGAGCTTATTTATTTTCCATTAAGGCATCAGGCTAACAATTGTCTGTGTATTTACTGCAACTGACTTGAGATGTTTCTCTTCTGTGCAATTAAAAAGATTGGTTAATGTACCTTAAAGGTTGCTTTTTATAGTTTTCCTAGTGTAGGATTTTTTCCTTTCTTCTAAACATACAGAACCAACTTCATCTATTTCTTTGTTATGAGCTCTGATATGATTTATAGATATTTGGCGCTGCTTTGGATTTAGGAGACTTCCACTATTTGAACCACGAATCTGTGCGGGCTAGTCTATTTCCAGTTGGAAGGTTAAGCCAGATCCAATTACAGTTCAATCAAAGCTCAAATCCACACAGGTTACTTTTCATGTTACTCTTTTTTGGTATTATATCACATAAAGCGTATTGTCTACAACAATTTTAAAGCCATTGGAAAACTATGTCTGTATGCTATTACAATGAGTTACACGTTTAGCCAACATGTAATGTTTTCCAATGTTACATCAAGCAATTGTGAAAATTACATTTATGCTGATTCCATATTCACTGTCAACTTTTTTTTTTTTTTTTCCCTCTGCCTTTCAATTTCATTTACTGTAGTAAATGTACCTTTCAAATATAGGAAAAGTCAACCAAAACTACCAGCTACAAATGGCTGCACCTGGTTGGTTAAGCAACGTCCTTCACTATTAAATTCATGACTGACTCACTTGTGCATGCGACATATGGTGGATCAGAAGGTGCTCTGTAATAGCTATCTTCACAGTCGCATCTTGAAGATCCTTCCTTGTCAGAAAAGCTGTGAGTAGGGCAGCGGGAGCACTGCAGATCTTGTGAAGATGATTTGTAGAACCCACGGCCACAAGCTAAGGCAGAACAAAACAAATTAAGATTTAGATTTGCACAGACCACTATTCTGATTTTTTTTCTGTCCCTGTCATATGCAGTACACGCTGCTGAGAACACCTAAACTACCCACTCTATTACAGTGGCAAAGTCAAGAATTCAGAATTTCTTTTTCTTCAGTTGGTGCTATTAATGATTTTGTGGCATTTTTATGAATGCAAGCATATGCTAACCTCAGCAGTTAGCAGCACAGTGTTTTAACACAAAAGGCCACAGAAATATAACAGGCATAATTTTTCACCAAAGAAGAGTACAATAATGGTTTGAAACACAAGGGAAAAATGTCTGAAGAAGCTCTTATTTAAGGCTACTAAAATATTTCTGGTATCTGAACCAGCTAATTTGGAATTAATGGAGCAAAGGTTACTCTTCCCTGATCTGAGAAACCCAAAGAAGCTGTAAACCACTAGCAAACCCTGATCCCCAGAAAAGAATGAGGTGTGAACACTTGTTGGACAGGCAACACTGGTATAGAACAAGCAGAAAGAGTGGGAGGGCAGACATCATAAACTGCACAATCACATTATTTTTTTTCCAGTTTCACAGATAGTTCCAGATTTAACAAAACCTCCAAGGAAAAATTAGAAGGTGGATAACTGGAAATATGCATGCCAGATCATTTCATATTTTGTATTGCGGGCTGTGAACCCATGAAAGTAAAAATGTGATGTGTTCCAAAACTTATATTTAGAAACATTTTTTTATCAGCTATTGTCACACTTCCCAAAGCAGAAACATGCCTATAACAACACTCTCAAGCAGAGGAATGCAACTTAGAAAGCCAGCTTCATAAGTGCTTAACTACGTGGGCATTAGGGGAGAATGAAGAAGGAAATGAAGATCACACAATGTTCAAACTGGGAACAGATTAAGACTTCATTTCAGCATTGAGATTATGGGCACACTTACAAACACTGCTGACATGAAAAACTGATCACAAAAGTCCTCCAGAACTTTCTAATAAAACAGAAACTTTTTCAACCATATTATTTTATTGAAGTTCTTTTTTTTTTTTTTTTTCCATCCCTCATAGGCAGTCTAACCTTCTTCTAAGCCTCCACCTATATGTAAAGAAAATGGACTGTGGGTGACACTTAGCATTGCATATCAAAATATTAAAGCTAGTTAAATACTCATTCTGAATTCAGAGAGAGAGAATTTACTTTGGTTATATTCATATTTGCTTGGATGTTTTCTCAGAACAGAAATGCAAAGTATCTGAAGACACTGATATTTAGAGCAGTTATTTCAGTTTTCGGGTCCTGCAGTGACAGAAAGAGCAAGAAAACAATGAGCTTTATCTAAATCTCACTGAATTCAATGAAGAGTGTCTTTTACTTTAGTAGTATTTGGACTAGACTCACAGCACAGTTGTGGCCACATGATTCTAGTTAATCTGTTGAATCTTATGAAACTGAGAGAAAAACTTGGAGGTAAGATAGATAAAATTGATGAATTAGTTTAAACAACACTGGATCACACCATTCTAAGATAAAACGAAATTCTGACTCTGTACTACTCTCTATAAATATATTGCCTTTCTAAAGAAAAAACATGTCTAAAGGACAGAAATTGCCATATCATTTACTTTGTCATGCTGAAAAAAAAAACAGTGAATGGAAGCTAAATTACCTGGCAGAGAAAATCAGCATGCAAAGCATGTATCCCTTGACTTTGACAAAGGGGCATGGGTTTGCATTAGAAAAAAATCAGGCTCTGCTTGTAAAACATGCTATGGTTTGATTCTACCAGAGTAGCTGTTACATATAACATTAAGAAAAGGAGACAAAGAATCTTAGAGAAGCGCTTCAGATAAACATAACGAGTGAAATTATAATTGTGGCAAACTTAACTCAGAATTAGCCTTTTGCTCCTTCATTCAAGATAGTTTCAAAATTTCCCAGTCAGAGACAAAAAGCACAAAAGCTGAACTGATTTGTATTCATGTACCTGAAGACATATATTTAAACTTCCGTCTGCTCTTTCAGTACTTGCAATTGAAATGTAGCTAAAATTACCAAATAATAGTTTCCTGCCTTTCTTAAATAGTCAGGCTCCTCTCATGCCAAGCAAAACACTGGACAAATACACTGGGTCTTACAGCACACAGCCCTCTGCAAAAGCAAAGAGCAACTTAAAAGGCAAAGATCCCTACTGTGTTTCCAGTCTGTCCTTCTCAGCAGGGGACATTGCAAAGCAAAGACACAGAGTAAAATAGAGATTTCAGACAGAAATAACAAAACGTAAATAGAACCCCCCACCTTTTTTTTTTTTTTTGATGGCTTGATCAAGACATTTATATGCTTAGTCACTTACTATTTAAAGTAAGTGTGCATCTCTTATTAGAGTTCAAAGGATTTGAATGTCTGCAACTAGTTTGCATGACCGTAAGCCATTTATTCTCCCACAAAGCACACCAGAGGCGGCAGGTTTAGGCAGTCAAACCATGCTATGATTCCATTATCCTTTTTGCCATTATCCTCCAGTACTCCAGCACTGAAATTGTTAACAGTAGAAAGAGTGCTTTTAAAAAGCATTTAAGAAACTTTATAGCTCTTTAGAAAGGAGTGTATGCAAGAGTATACATCATAATTAAAAGCACTCATTAGAGGAATACAACTAAATTATTTTCCCATTTTGCTTCACAAGTTGAAATTTATCACAAACAAATATTCAGCCTAGTAGTAGACTACTTCTATTGCTCATAAATGAGGGTGTGATGAATCTTCACCTGTTTTTAATGTATATCATATCAACATATATTATTGTCCTTGCCTTTACAACTGAAAACTTTACCAAGACAGTCTGTTGCATGGACCACTGACCAAGGTGTGATGACTTGCCGGGGATCAAAGGTTGGAAAGAACTCCTCTAAAATCTTTTTTGTAACTTTATTTTTTTTTTCCTTTTGTCCTATTTTGCCAAATTCTCATGGTGATTTTTTTGATATTATAAATAATTTTAATATATTGGTTTGCTCTAATCGATTTTAAATCCACTTAATTTGACCCAATTTAATTCTTTACATAATATTTTTAAGATTATAAGGATAGGTGGTATAATATCCACCACTACCTCCATAAGCAATATTAAACAAATGTTAATTGTAAAAAGAATAATAATAATTAGGCAAACATTACTTGGAATTTTGTACATGCAAATTAAAGGAAATAAATCTAAAAATAAAAGTTGTGTACTGTTTCAGAAAAGTATCTAATGGAAAAACTTGAGGTAACTCAAGTTGTATACGACTTCATACTATTCATTTTAACATTTCAATTCAGTGGTGCAGGAGAGTGCTCAGCAGCAGCACTTCTTCCCTATAAAGAGTCTATCTTGTAAATCAAGCAATGATGGGAGATATGCTGTCATGTACCTGGTGAGGCAGAACTGTGGAGGTGTAGCCACAATCCTTCTCACCCCAGCAAGGTAAGATCCAAGAGAGGTTTTGTTACTGAAGGGCTTCTGGGGTACTGGAAAAGGTGTGAGAGGGAAAAGGGAATGAATGCCAGCACAAAATTTTCTTCCATTCAGTGTGATGTGTCATTTTCAGCTGGTAATTTACAGCTTTCCCCAGCTGAAGCTCCTATTTTGTTCAAACACCTGCTCCAAAGTCTTACCCATTCCAGGAAATGGTTTCAAACCATAAGCAGTCATACTTTACTGACAGCACAGAGGCAGAATAAAACCTACTGGTCTAATGTAAAACAGTCTTCAAAATGTAGCTGCTAATTATTTCCCCATGTATTACAAAACCAACAATACATCGAAGAGGGAATTGTACCTCAGACAAGTCACAATTTTTTCTTACTATCTGAGCCCCACAGCTGCTAGGGACTGATCACCCATGACCTCTCAGGACTACACAGCATCTTAGACTTCTTTATTTGCCTGTGACAGCCACGAATGCTCCTCAGAGCAAATCTTCCCACCTTCTCTACAAAGCAAAGAGATTTCTTCTGTTCAGAAGCTGGCAGAGTTCCACCATGAAATACAAAGATTACATGAAATGCCCCCAGATGGAGAAAGAGACTTCTTCACCGCAGAGTTGAAGTTTGAAACTGAGCAGAGCATTGTCATTTCATATTTAAACTTTCTTGTCTAAAAGCGTTAGATAAAGACCTACACTATTATGTCTGCATATGATGAAAGATCCTAGTGAAGATGATACTAACAACATTTCTTGGCTTCTACCGAAGTGCTTTCTTCTACATCAAGTTGCACTCAGCTGTAACAGTGGTGTATTGTGACAGCAGGATCTGGCTGGGCAAAGTTGCAGTGCCAGTGGAGGATACCCATTCAAAGATTCATTTAGCATATGCCATTGCAGTCAGTGTAATCACAAACATTTTGAGACAAAGTGTTTTGGAGTCATTTAAGGACTTATATAAATACTGTAAATAATGGAATAGTGCAAAACCACAAGTAAATACTGAGATGTAAACACACACTACTGAGAACTATGATGCCACCTCTGTGGCATACCAAGGCATTAGCCATTGTAACTAGAGGTGCTGACTGCAGCTTATGTAGAAAAATAGCAACTTCTCTGCTGTGAGCTCATCACATGCCTTAGTGGCCTGGCAGAAAATAAATATATTTATATTTATATATAAATTTATATATTTATATATAAATTTATTTTATATATTATATTATTATTATATATATATTTATATTTATATTTTTCTTTTCATGTTTATAAAATAAAATTTTAAAAAATCCAACAAATTCCCAAGAAGAGAGGATAAAGGGAGCTGTGGAGAGCATCAAGCAGCATTCTGGAGTCCCACTTGTGGGACAGGAAAAAGGAAAAAAAAAAAAAAAAGACGTTAAATATTGCTTATTTTTAATGTAACCTATTCACTATAAACACTATGGAGATTCATTTTGCTTCTAGGAGAGCTAGGGGACTTAAATTGGGAGGGATGATGGAAATACGGTAAGGGTTAAGAATGAC